CATAAAAAAGGGGCGCAATGGCAAAGAAAAACTTGGGGGGGGGGGGCTGTTTTTCTTTGGACATATGGTACTGTACAAGAATCAAAGTCTCTCTAAACAGGGCAAGTGGTACCAGTGGGTCTCACTGTGAGAGGCACGTTGGTTTATGCTTTGGGGAAACCTGGCTAACCAAAAAATAGGGAAAATAGTTTAAAATGATATAGCAGGGAGGGGAGAGAAGCCTGGCCTTTTCTTTCTTTTCTTTTTTTTTATTTGCATTCACCAGCTCCCTGCATTGTTTACATTTTAATTTGGAGTTTTGCCAGTCTAAGGTGAGTTCCACAGCACAATTTAGTTAAGCCAGTGACTCTAATCGTAATATAAGACATGAACATATCTTGGACCAAATGAAACATTCCATCACAGAAACAAGGTAAGTTTTCAGTCTGACAGTGGGTTTTGTTTTCTTTTCCTCCCCTTCCTTTTGAAATTGCTGGGGATTGGAATTGAAATCTCAGGCAGTAGCCTGGAACACCAGCATGGAATGCTCCAAGCTTTTCTGTCTCAGTAGTGTTAATGATAAAAATGCTAAATCTAGAACCCGTGATTTGAGGCTGCATTCTAAATTTGGCACTCCCTGCTGGCTCCTCTGCTCCAGATGAACTGAATTGCTTCCCTGAAACAAAATCTGTCTGAGATCAAAACTCAGCAACACATCCATAAGCATTTTTTCTGCCTATAGCAACTTGCCTCTGAGGATCTTGGAGGTTTTACAGCCAATGAATATTTTAACATCACAAATCAATGGGAGATGGATGATGCTCCCTTGTACCAGTTGGATGCTGAGATGCGGAGAGGAAGTGACTTACCCAAGGTCATACAGTCAGTAGCAGAGCACAGGATAGACCCCAGGAGTTCTGGTTCTCTGAATCCATGTGAATAGCTTCATTCCTTGAATAAATTTATTAAGAATGTCATGAACTCAAGCGTGGCTGGGGGGGTGGGGAGGGCAGACATGAAAACCATTTAAAATGAAATGCAGAAATGAAATAAATTGAGCTTTTAACAATTTTTGCTTTATTATGATGCGTACAAGGAAAAGCCCTGTGCTCTTTTAATTTGTTAGGGCTTCTTTATTGTTTTCCTGGCTTGTTTTTATTACCTTAGAAATGCTAGCTGGAAAACTCTCTGTTGACTAGAGAACTTGTAAAACAATAACATTGCCAGAACCCAGAAAGTGAAAATTCAGCACCAGAGAGAAGAAGAATTGTTATCATCCTCTGTTGTTGTTGTTGTTGTTGTTGTTGTTGTTACTGGTGGTGAAACTTATTTCTTTAATTGGCATTGATTTAAGATTAATGACACATTGACATTGTGGAAAGAAAACAGCTTGGTTAAAATCATGTGTTGACATTTCACCAAATCCCTCTTCCCTTTCTTGTAGAAGAAATGAGGTGGGAAGAGACAAAAGTTGCCACTGCTGATATGTCTCAGATTTAAAAAGCTGAGGATACCATAAAAACAACTCTGGGCAACCCTTTATCCATCATAAAGATGCAAAAAAAAAAAAAAAAAAAAACACAAGCCTGGCT